TCTGGCGGGCTCAGGGCAAGCCCACTGTACGAGGCGATCAGCCGCCTTCTCTCTGCTGATGGTAGCTTGTGGAGCCGCTTCAGGTGCTCGTCTAGGTTGTAGACTGCGTAGCAGTGCTCCTGGCAGACGAGCACTCTGTACAGAGGTAGGTAGGTAAACATTGTTAAGGGGGGGGGCTGCGCTCTTCTCCTCTTCTCCTCTTCCCTCCCTACACGTACAGGGGCGTTGCTCAGGTTTTTTTTATCTTCCTTTCACTCCCTCTGTTGCAACTGTGAGGCGCTGTACAGATTACGCGCAGATAGCCCCGCGCAGATGGCCCTGGGCCTGGCGGGTTTTCGTGAGGCAGGGGCTAGCTAGCCAATCAGGGTTGCAGGGTTTGATCGCGCGCAGATGGCCCCGCGCAGATGGCCCTGGGCCTGGCGGGTTTTCGTGAGCCAAGGGCTAGCTAGCCAATCAGGTTTGCAGGGTTTGATCGCGCGCAGATGGCCCCGCGCAGATGGCCCTGGGCCTGGCGGGTTTTCGTGAGGCGAGGGCTAGCTAGCCAATCAGGTTGCAGGGTTCGCGCACAGATGCCCCCTCCGGGGCCATACGCGCAGCGATTCATACGGAGAGGGTAGCTATGCAACAACGTTGCAACGTTGTTTTAAGTTTGTTGAATATAGGCACTCAGCATTTTAGCTGTTAGCAATGTTGGCGCGAAATTGGGGCTATTGGGCGCAAATTGGGGCTGTTGGGGCCGTTGAACAGCCGTTGCACGACCATGCCACGACTGTCAGCAACGGCCAGTCTGGGCCGGATTTCGAAAAACTTTTCCCGATGTAGAGACCTGCTGATGAGGTACGTTCAACGCTCTAGCAGCGCTGCGGATACTGCGAAATTGGCCAGCATAGAAGGCCTAGATAGCAAGGATAACTCTGCCTTCTCTAGTAGTATTCTGAAGTTGTTGTTGTTGAGGCATGTTGTGTTGGGGTAAAAGGTGGTCGTGCCAAGAGAAAGTGGCCGGTTCGGTGATATGGCCGGCTCGGTGATAATCTACGTTACTCTTAACCCGCCTTTTTGTTAATTATCAGCTAAGGCATTGTCTTAGTAGTCCTGAATCGCTTGGCTACCCCTCTTTTACGTGCTTGGCAACCTTAATCTGGCGTGTTGCTGATTATTAGGCTTAGTCTGTGGGCCCCTGCCTTGCTTGGTGAACTCGGCTAAGACCTCCGAGTGATGTCTCTGTACAGATCCGGCCCTGCCAACCTTTCCTCAGTAACCCAATATCTGACAGCTCTACAAGCTCAAACTAGCTCCTAATTAACGCAGAATTCTTGCACAGAGCTCTCTGCCTATTGTACGCTCAATTAAATTGTGTGTTAAGGGAGTCTGTACGCCTAACAAAGTTGGCTGGCTACTTCTGCCTAACCTGGCCTGCGCCGCGCGCAGCCAGCAGCTTATCAGCCATATGACGTACAACCGCGTACCTAGGCGCAAATTCACGTCACTCTGACTCAAGTATATACTAGACTATCACCTCCTCTTCTGATTGGGTGAGCTTCCTTGAATTAGGCTGGCAATCGCGGCGGTCAGGTCTGCCAGCGCGTTGGCGGTGGAGAGTAGCGCGAGAGACCTCAAACGTTGCTGCAGCGCCCCTCTCAGTCTGAATTTGATTTTTATTAAGAGCTGAGATTGCAAGGTGTATATCAGCCTTAAAAGAGGCGTGTTAGGGTAGGCTTAGTGGAGTCATAGTCGATTCAAGGTAACAGAGTGCAGAAAGTTGGTGGGGTGGCTCACTCGCTTGCCTGGCTCACTTGCCTATCCAACACGTTACACAAAGAGGCGGAAAAGATATATTAAGCTCACATATTAGCGCTCACCGGTTATGCTTGCGCCCCGCATACCAACGACCTATGAGCTTCCACTCCTCCAGTCTGCCAAGGTTGAGCGCCCAACGACATACCGAACATGTTTTGAAGGCGGACACAGCCTATGCAGCCTCTTCGAGAGCTGTATTTATGTTGTAAACTCCATCCCCGCTTTGTAGCTTTTTCCTATTCGTACGTGCTTACTTTCCATGTCCTTCTCCAAGCACACCATGGTTCTCAACCTCTGTGCGTTGTATTTGGTCGCAGCGCTTTTCGCGTTTACTCGGGCGCAGAAAGCCAATACTTCACCGCTGATTATTGCGCCTAGCGGGAAGTGGTACAGTTCTTAAAAGAAACGTTATGCAAGATATAGTACTGACCAAAGCGTAGGGACGGTGCAGACGGCCCTTGGTCAACGTTCAACTTCGGAGTTGGTGATCCTATACAACCTTTTCGATGCCTCCCCGGTATATCGTTTCCGTTCATCGTTCTGCCCGTGCAAAGCGATTGGTGCAACGAAACCTGCGAAGCGCAGACAACCATTTTTCGTCCCGAGGGGTCCTCGACGTGGCGCATTGCAGGCTTATGGAGCGTAAACGGATATGACGACATAACCGGATATGACGACGGTAGTTCGACGTCTAACGACTCCTCTGCTATATTTGGCGTTGATAGCGTATCCCTCGGACACCGTACGAAAGATATTTTGATTTCTCAGTACTATGTCCTTGGCAGCCGGTCCAAAAGATTCTACGTTGGTACATTTGGCCTCGCGGTCGGCTCATCCTGGCTTTCAAAAGAGATTGATAAACCTAAAGTTTTGGACAGCTTGTATGACGCTGCACACTCGATTCCTAGTCGAAGCTTCGGCTACACGGCAGGGTCTGCCACGAGTAAGCAGAATCTGTCTTCTTCATACACCATCCTCAGGTTAATTTGATTCTAGGGAACATATTGGGCAGTCTAGTTTTGGGCGGATACGACGCATTGCGATTCGATGATTCAACAACAACAACCTGGTCCTTTGTGAGTGCGCAGAACACCACGTGCATCGTACAACTGGCTGGTATCAGTGTCACGAACACGGGCGACACTGTCACAGAACCTCAGACCTACAACGCAGATTTCACTCCAGGACCGATCAGAATCGACTCCTCAGTCCCCCAAATCTGGCTACCAGAACAAGCATGCAAGGTATTCGAAATAACCTTCGGGCTCACCTGGGACAACTCGTTGAAGCTATATCTAATCAACGAAACGACGCACGAGCGACTGACACGCGATAAGCCCGCGGTACGATTTACCCTAAATTCTGGAACAAAATCGGTCAACTATACATTTCCATACACAGCTTTCACTCTAACACTTGCCTTCCCGTTTGTTGATAAGTCCACATACTACTTCCCATTGAAACGAACTTCAAATCCCACGCAATATATGCTCGGTCGCGCCTTCCTACAGGAAACATACATAACAGTGGACTACGAACGCTCAAACTTCAGCATAAGCCAAGCGTATCCAGACGGTGGCTCCACCATGATAGTTTCTATACAAAATACGACCTTCCTTCTATCTCCGAGCCCTGATTCGAACGAATCCAACGGACTCTCCACGGCAGCCTATGTGGGTATTGGCGTCGGCGCAGGCATCGGGGCGCTGGTAGCGGTCGGTGTGCTTGTGGCATGGAGGCAACGATGGCGCCGGAACAATGGAAATCTGCGCGATTATTTTAGAAAAGCGGAGTTGCATGGCGATCATAGGCCGAGGGTGGAGGTTATGGGCAAAGAGAGGCTAGAGCTGGGTGCTGCGTCGAGTACCTCCACCTACAAAACAATGAAGAAGGAGATATCAGAGCTGGAGACTGTGGAATATGCGGTTGAGATGAGTGGTGGGGAGGCGCTGGCAGTCCCAGGTATTACTCTGCTGCATGAACTGCCTGGTCGTGATGAAAGCGAGCGGAGTGTTTAGTGTCCATATTATTGAAAATCACATCTGAATAGCGACCAATATCTGAATTAGAGGCAGAGAATTCTTACGAGCTGACCATGTTCTTGATGACTTTGGAACTTGAATTGCTGCCCGGCGTGTGTGCCTCCGCATGAACAGCTGTGCGTATGGCCCCGGAGGGGGCATCTGCGCGCGAACCCTGCAACCCTGATTGGCTAGCTATATATCATCAAAAGCGAAAGGCACGCACAAGGGTCCACTTTGACAACAAGAACAACAACGCAAGAGCCAAGCAATACGAGGGCAAATGTTTGGGCAACGTGGGTTAGAGCAGCAAAAGGCCCAGATGCTTGGACACATTCGAACACTGTTGGCTGGAATATGTACTAATATGGCCTCGTTCTCTTTCACATACGACCATAGGACGTTGAAAACAAGGCTTCCCGTTCGCTCAGCCCTATTTAAGCAACGTACCGGCGGATTAGTAGTTAGGTGGGTGACCACTAGCGAATACCCGCTGTTGTATGTCTTTTGCCTTTTTTGTCCTCCTCCACACATCCCAAGATAAGAACAACTGGACAGTCACACTTCTCTTTTGGTTATGCTCGCACGACGGTGTTGGTTGCTGCAAGTTTGCTAGGCAGAAGAACGTGAATACAGTTTTGTATGCGTATAATAAGTATACGCAGGGGAATGTATATTGGTCGGCGAAGTGGGGAACGTAAGAGTGGCAGGCAAGGGGACGCAGAGCAAGTATTGGAATTGTTGCGCAGCGGAGGAGCGAAGCGATAAAGCAAGCACTGCATACCAACTCTATGCCTAGAAAGCGGGAAATCTGATTCGTAATCCATGCGATGTTGAAGACACACACGCCAGTAGGGTCATTACCGCGGAACTCCGCAAGAAGGAGGAAAGGTTCTGACAGGAACGGTTTGAAGAGGAGGAAGAGGAGCGCAAGCTTAGGGAACAGCTGCGATTTAAGCGTGAAGCTCTGCAACGAGATGAGCAGAATAAGCGTGAACAGGAAGCTGCTATGTTCCGTCGCGCGGATCGAAGAAGTTCTGGAGGTTCACATGGTGAATGACACCCAAGAGGGCTCCGCGATGTAAGAGAGGTTGTGCCCAGCTTAAGAAGCGTTCGCGATGGTAGAGGTAGATTAATGGAGGTGAAAGACAGCGCAGGCAGTGCTGGCCAATCTAAGTGGGGCCTGGGGTTCCTAAGGAAGTAGACTTACTTGACACTTGTTGGAGTTTTATATATAAAGGCAATCTGTAACGGTTGAGAGGAGAAGCGGATCACGTGTTGTTGGCGGTGGTCTGGTGTTACTTCCTCATGTTGTTGAGCACCTCTTACCTTGACTGCGTTACAAAGACGTCATCAAAACAAGCCCCACAGCGAGCCTTGGAGAATATAGATACAACAACAACAACAACACAGAACACAATACACTTATTATAACGTAGATTATCACCAAGCCAGCCATATCACCAAACCAGCCATTTTCTCTTAGCACAACTAACACAAGTTACTACAACTACAACTACTTGCTATTAAATAGTGACCTAGCATACTGCGTGCTTGTATTAGATTTAGAAGATATTTCTGCACCTGCTAAGCACGTTTGTGCGTTGTGTCTAGTCTTGCTGCAGTTCCTACAGCGCTAAACAGTTGACTAAGCTCCTAGTTAACCACCTCTACCCTAAGTCTTCTAAGATAGCTGAGCTGCTACACACGCCTTAGCAGCTACCTGTAATGCTGCTGGGCCATACTTAAGTGTGCCACTTTGCTGAATCTGCTTTCTCTTACGCGATTTTCTCTTAGTTATTACTACTAATTGCTCTTTAAGCTCTTGCACGTGGGCCTTAATAAGGATGTTTTTGTGTAGTATCTCTTTAGCCCCTTTTATAAGCTTTAAGAACCCCTCTTATGCTATACTTAGTAATTGTTAGAAGGAGTTGCTTATAAGCTTAGATTAAGACCTAAACTTGTGTGTATTGCTTAGCGTCTTAGATTGCTATAGTATTTTAGGTAGAGGAACTGCTAGTAGGATATACAGCTGCACTTTAAGGTAATCTAACACTACCTATATATTAGTAGGAATAAGCCCTAATACCTTAAAGGCCTTTTAGTAACATGGTTGGCAAGCGAGTCGGTCAGACAAGCGAGTCGGTCACCCCACCAACTTTGATCACCTACTCTATCTTAACACACAATGCCTCCACGCCGCGCTCTGCTCATGCAGTCAAATGAAGCAGATATTCAGCTTGCTCTCTTATCTATAGATTCTGCCCAAATTCAGAGTACGCGACGTGCTGCTACAGTCTTTAATATCCTAAAATTAACCCTAATTGACTAGCGCGCTAGAAAGCGCGCGCGACGCGATTGCCAGCCTAGCTTAAGGAAGCTTACCTAGAGAGAAGAGGAGGTGATTGTCAGCTATATACTTCACCTAGATCAGCGTGGATTTGCGCCTACCTACGCAGCTGCACGTGATATGGCTGATAAGCTGCTGGCTGCACGCGGCGCTAGCCAGGTTGGGCAGAAGTAGCTAGCTAACTTTGTTAAGCGTACAGACAGTCTTCAGACGTGTTTTAACTGAGCGTACAATAGGCAGCAAGCTCTGTGTAAGGATGCAATATTAATAAAGAGGTAGTTTAAGCTTATAGAAGAGACAAAGGCTAAGTAGGGTATCTGCAATAAGGATGTCTATAACTTTAATAAAGCTAGCTTTATAATAGGCAAGATTACAACGCAGCTGGTTATAACAGGAGTAGAGAGGAGAGGCAGGCCAAAGACTCTTCAGCCAGGCAATCGCGAGTGGGTAACGCTGATCGCTGCTATCAGCGCTGCTGGCTGGTCAGTACCACCTATCAGCCTAGTATGAGGAGGATATCCCACGCGACTGGGCGATCGCAGTCAGCGACAATGGCTGGACAAATAATGAGCTTAGAGTTGAGTGGCTAAAGCACTTTAACGCTCACACGCAGGCTCGTAGTATAGGCGCGCGTCGCCTGCTTATTATTGATGGCCATAAGAGCCACCAATCTCTAGCGTTCCAGGAGCTCTGCAAGGAGAACAACATCTACACGCTCTGTATGCCACCTTACTTATCTTACCTACTCTAGCCGCTTGATGTTGGCTGCTTCTCGCCATTAAAGCGCGCGTACAGCTGTGAGGTGGAGAGCCTTATGCGCAACCACATCAACCACATCACCAAGCTTGAGTTTCTGC